CATACCTGCCTCCAACAGGGAGAATTTTTAAATACCAGTTTCAAATATCACCGATAGATGCTGCTACTGCCAGCTTAACGTACGAGTGACACGTTGTCTCAATTATTGCTTTATTTTTTGATATTAGAAAAATAAATTTACCGGTATGTATCCATAAAACTTACTAATAAATATGAACTGGGTCAATGAATTCAAGAGTCTCTGTTTTATTAGAAGACGAGTACAACGAAGAAAATGCCTAATTCTATATCTAATATGGAGACAGGCGCAAGGAGTACAGTCGGTGCACAACACAATTGGCACACGACTAATAATGCGGAAACGGCATTTTTAAAGAGCAAATAACTTTGTCCTTGATGATGCCAATATATGATCACCATATAATTATCACATCATTCTTCTCTTAATAAGTCAAATGATCTCTGATTCTTACATGTAGAGGGGATTTTATTCATTGAACTTTATTAATATGATTTATTTGGTCATAACAGCCTGTAAAATTGTGACATGGCATGCAATCCCACTATTTCTGTAGAAAGACCACATTTGTCCTCAAGAAGGAAACAATAACATTGAAATTTATTACAGTGTTTGTGCATTTTATAGCATTGCTGCTGAAATGTACATTGCTTGATATCATTGCCTGAGAAGACCAGCTGTTCCAAAATATAAAGTTACAGAAGGATACCATCCTGGAAATATAAATGTTAATGTGAATAAATTACATCCATAGTCATGTGAGGTGAAGTTATATGAATTAAAAACATTTTTGCAACCAGGATCTGTGTTAAAACATTAAGGTCCACACAGTTTCTCCCAGTGTAGTGGAAATGATTATTTTTCACAGCTGAAAGGAGTAAAGCATGAAATGTGAATAGCAATATTGAAAATACTTTTTGCAATAGTTAATCCATGGAATGTATAACAACATAGCATACCTTTTTCCTATCTTGATTTTTGAGAACACAACCATCAATTATATCTTGAAATAATAAGGTATGAACTTTGTTGCATGAAATTAAATAATAAATGATAAACAAAATTGTAAAGTTTTGAATGAAAAAAAAACATAATTTGGGGTATTATTCATGGTCATATGCAAGTTTAAAACATTTAATATTTCTTTTTAAATTTTCCTTCCTGTTAACTTTTATGAGCCTCTGAAATTTAACACAACTTATGTTTGTAGCATGTGTAAGCCCAGTCCAGGAGTCAACTGTAATTAATTAATTCATAGCATGGTACAGACATACTGGTAATCTCTTTATTAACTTACAAGATGTGAAACATGCTTGTGCAATAGACTTTAATAAATAATCATTTAATAACTGATATTTAATCTCAAACTGTCCTGTAGAGGTTAATCTTTGCATTATCTCGTTTGTTGTAAAGTACTTCATTGCTAACCTTTAGGTGACTATGTTCTGTAATGGAATCTGACACATTTTGAGAACTGTCTTATCAACAGAGATTACTATTCTGATGTCTGTCATTACATAACATATATTACTAGGAGATGCTTTCACAAATACACAACTCATCTTTGAGTAAACAGTTGTGCCTGTGTGGAACGTGATATTTTATCAGAGGTAAACTTTTCAATCCATGACATATCTGTATTTAAGAATTTGTGTTTGAAAATAAAATAAATTAAATAAAAGTTTTGGAGAAAATTATATGATGCTTAATTTGAACATGCACTATTTGGAAATATGGTGCTAAGGATATGTTTAGATCCAAGAGAATTAAATTACTGAATACTGCAGAAAAAATTCACAAGGAGTTTCAGTCAGTGAGCTTGGCAGCTACTGTTGATAGGTAATTAAATCATATAGTATGAAACGGAATCACACATAAAACTAATTAAGGCTTCTTTTGTTTTATTTGTAGGGGAATCTTATTTCAAGAAAAGACTTTGGAGAACTAGTTAAAGATGATGATAATATATCAAGGAAGTCAAATATATTAATGTGAACTGGATCAGGGGAGTTTCTATTGGTTATTCTTGTAGTGGCAGTAATAAACAGGGTATTTTTTGAGCATTCAAACAAATAACATGTTCAGGGAAGTCCCTGTATAAAAGAAAATTAGTTGGTCAGTTCATTAGTCAGTTGCTTGGTTGATTAGCTTAAGAAAATTTATATATCTTATTCTCTTTTTTCTTCCACTTTATTCTCTTTCTTGTTCCTTATCTATCTAATTCTCTTATGCTGTTGATTTGTTTATTTATTTGTTTCTTCCCCCCTTAGTACTCTGACTGACATAATCATGTGATCAGTGTGTTAAAGCATTGTAATAAATGGTAGTATTTTTTTCTAGATGGCTACTCGCTGGGGCATAGCTTCTGCAGGCAAAATAAGTCATGATTTTGTGACAGCACTGAACACCCTGCCATCTGAGGAACATCGTGTGATAGCTGTTGCTGCTCAACAGCTTGATCGTGCTAAGACGTTTGCAACCGAGCACAATATCCCAAATGCATATGGTTCATACGAAGAACTTGCAAAAGATCCTGATGTAGGTGAGTACAGTACAATGTTCTGAATTGCATATTTATATTTGGTATAGCTAGCCAATCAATAGGTACATTTAAGTACTACAGTTGTTTCTTAGTAATGTATTCCTTAATTACTTTGTTAGAAACCTCACAAATTTTTCAGCTTTTAAAAATGTACTGGATGTGACACAGAGGTGGTGTACATCGGGGCAATCAACACGCTGCACCTTGACATCGGCAAATTGATGTTGGACAATGGGAAGCACGTTCTCTGTGAGAAACCGCTCACAGTGAACCTCAAGCAAACCACGGAGCTCATCAATTATGCCAAGGAGAAGAAACTGTTCCTCATGGAGGCTATATGGTCACGTTGCTTTCCAGCTTACGAGGCTGTCAAGAAGGAACTTGAAGCTGGCACAATGGGGGAAGTGCTCCAGGTGATTGCCAACTTTGGCGTTGTCGTAGCAGACGTCGATAGGGTCAAGTATGTTTCACATATCCTTTGTCACTTTCATAGTCTTCATGAAAAGTTGTGAGTAGTGGCCCACACATTCCACAAGAAGTAAGTCTGTGAGAGTGGACTTTCCTGAATGTCTACAGGACAATTAAATCAATTTATCATTTCACATTCAAGCACTGTAAAATAACAGTACCCTCATATTCAGTGGATATCAGTGTCTTTTCCCCGAGTAAAGCAGCCACAGTATAAAGCTGACATTTACCTTCACCCATTGCTGTGGTCAGGATTTTATGGAACTTTACCTCCACTCCCCCATACATCTTCATGGCATGGTGTTTAGTCACAGAGATAGTTTTAATCTTTTATTCAAATGACCTTTGGACACTGTACATCTGGATTGGTTGTCATGGTCTATTGTCAGGACAATACCTTGGCTACTTCCTCCAAAATCCTTCCAAATTCATCATTAATAACCATCCTGCCTCATCTAATTTGACACTACATAAGTATCTAATTTCTTGTAGACTGAAGGAGTTAGGTGGAGGCACCATCCTGGATCTGGGTGTATATGTTCTTCAGCTTGCTCAGTTTGTATTCGGTCCATCGCCACCGGAGCGCGTCGTGGCACAAGGCGAATTAAACGAGAATGGTGTCGACACAAGTACAAGTATAACTCTAAAATACAAGGGAGGGAGGACTGCCACTCTCTGTACCCATGCGAGAGTCAAACTGCCAAATGAAGCATTCATTGTTGGAACAAAGGGCATCGTTAAGGTACGTGGAGTGTAACACCTTGAAGGACTTTGCTTCATCCCGACTCAAAAGTATCCTGAAATTATGCTTCCTAAATTGAACAGGGCGATAATGTCACTAGAGATCCCGGACTTTCAGCAGTAAAACCCCTATTTATAAACCGATGACGATCAGAAGTTGCAGGCACAATACTCAGTCCTTGTGAAGCTACATCCCATCGCATAACGGAAATCAGCACTGCCAAATAACCTCTGTACTTGATATAGTGTCACTGAGTACACCATGTACAAAATAAGCCAGCAATACATTTGAGCACTAAACTGAGGGAAATCATAAATAGGTTAAAATATCTTGGATATAATTGGAGTATAACCATAGATATTTCTGAACATCACAGTCAAGTGGTTAACACCCCTAATTCATATTCTGAAGGTCATGTTTTCGAATCTCAGTCTACAAACATGCTGTCCTGACTTCAGATTTTTCATGGATGCTGTGGTAACTCCTTTTACCGCTTCCATCCTTTGAATTTTCGTTTCATCATTCACACTCAGCCTAGATTTTACATGCAGGCCTATAACCTATAAAGCTGAAACAATGTTGTCACAATAACAAAGGAATAAGTCAACAACATTTGGTTATAACTGATGGCTGAACAGTGAAGCTGAAAAAGATTCAGTGATTTCACTTACATTTGAGTCATCAAACCAATGAACTAAAACTAGTAGTTTGATGTAATACCAAGATGTAAACCACACAGCACTTCAAATTGTTTCAGATACTCGAGCCGTTCTGGTGCCCAACAAGTATAACTACCCCAGAGAAGACAAAAGAATTCATCCTGCCAAATGCACCCAAGCCATTCAACTTTACCAACAGTGCTGGTCTCCGCTATGAGGCAACAGAAGTGCGACGCTGCCTCAAACAAGGTTTCTCACTTATCAATAAAATCCGCAGTGTTTTGCCCTTGTGCGCATCTGAAGCCAGAATCAGCTTTGAAATTATGTATCGACATTTTTTAGTCTGACAGAATGAAATGTCGAACAAGTCAGAATGTAAGACTTGAGGTTCTCACAGCGGTGAGTATGAAGATATCAGTCTTCTGGGTTATTGCGCTGTGTAGTCTGGTCGATCGCCCTGATGACGGAGGCAGTATATGACCTCTGAAACGTTGGTTAACATCGACCAGACTACACAGCGCAAAAACCCAGAAGACGGATATCTTCAAGTCAGAATGTAACCAAACAAAGTTTGTGTAACAGTAATGCACTGGATCTGTATTCTGCAGGATCCTGTTTCAAATTTCAGTGGGACTACCAGCTGTCCTGACAGACTGTTCCTAGTTTTCCTCAAATAACCCAAGAATAAATCGATCAGTATACCTGGTCAGTAATGATGATAATGCAATCGGATTTTCCCACACTTATCATTGTTTGTCAGGGAATAAAAAGGACTATCATCATTTCAAAGATGGATACATTGGTGGTATTTCTTTTCTCAAATGTTCTGCCGTGTCCAGAATACAACAACGTGTTAAATTTATTACTTTGTTCACAGGTCTGTTGGAAAGTCCAAAGGTGAGTCATGAGGAAAGCCTGATTCTGGCCCAACTTGAAGATGAGATCCGTAAGCAACTTGGTGTTAAATACGATCAGGACTAGCGGTGGAAAGCTATGCTGAAACGTCGGTAGAGAGTTTATGTTAATACAAAATAGATTTCATTTAAATTTAGTCACACTATAAGGAGGAAATGAAACATAAAGAGTTTTTACTGGTTAAAACTGTGTAATTAAAATTCTTATATCTATGTTCGTACTTGTATATATATATATGTGTGATATACGGGGAAACTACACGGCATTTGTTTACCACATTCACTCGTTACTGTAACCAATCTTATCACCGAAATGTAATTTCTATTTTGAGTGGCTGTAGAATGCAGCAAAGTTTCAAACCATGAATGGCAAGAAGAGTTGATGCATCGATGACTGTTTTAAAAGTCATCTAAATATTACCACAGGTTTGATTACTGTGTCTTATTCTGGCACTTTTTCCACTGAGTGCAGGTTAAATAATAAAATGTCCATAAATATCTTTGTTGTCCCACATTTTTTCATGTTGTACCTCAGTTCATATATTTCCTCAATCACAGTAAGCCATCTCAATCTGCATTTTTCATGCATTTTATCCCTATTTCACGGGCTATTCTTAGTGTTTAACCTATATAAATTATTTTAAAATGCCTAACACTGTGATATTTTCATACCTACCTAATGTGAGTGTCTCAAGTCTTCTGACTGCCTCATTCCTAATGGTTTCTTCCTTCTTCGGCGAAGATACTTCATACAGGTACCGTGTATGTACCACCAGAAGAAAAATCCTTTACCTTTTATTGCACCCAAAGGCACAGTCCTCACACTAGACCCTATCCTAAGCCACCTAAATCCAATCTATGCTCAAATTCTAATTAACCTTTATCTTGTACTGTGGCTGCCAGCCAGACTTTAGCTCCAGGATTAATGTTTTAGCAGTATGCAAGTATGACACAGTCAGCCAGATCAAGCATCACAACAATAAAGGTTAAGATCATTTTCCTAAGATAATGCCAAACAATTTGTTCAAGTTCAAAGTCCTCTGTAATGCCAATCAGGATAACAGGCCACTGGCCAAACCCACAAGCTGCATAATCACATCTTATCTCCTGTCCACAACTGGTTCTACATATTCACGATCAGCGTCTGTAATTGAAAGACATCAACCCCTATCAAAAAATGTGGATGTTATTAACCTCCATTTAACATGTCTGCAAACCAAATGTCATCATGACTCCTGATTCACACATGTGAGATCCCCCAAGTTCACATCTTGGCCCAAGGACCATGTGCTCACTTACTTTCTTAATAATTTTCCTCAGACCCTCCTGGCAAAAGCCAGGACAGTACCTAAAATAAGGCCTAATATACTTCTTTTCATGTACTCTCCAATTCAATTAAACCTTTAATATGATGATGTTAAAAGTGGCATTAAATACTACTACTTCTACTACTGAAATATAGGATTCTAGGCAGTGAATTAATTTTCTAATTTGGCAAGTAAGATCGGGCATATTTCCAAACCCTGAAATTGTTAATGCTATATTTATTTTAATAAGGAAAGGAGGAAAAACGTGACTAGGTTCTTGGAGAAGGCACAAAAAAAAACATTCCATTGTGTATATATGTAATGCTTCTTTTCATGGAATTCAACAACTGTTTACGCGTGTTTTCAACTAAACACAACAATAAAACACAAAATGTGAATATACATATGTGGGATTACACTACTACCATTCCAGTTCCCAAATTAATGTTAAATATTTTCATTTCATATATCTTGACAAAATTGAGACTTCTCCAATAATTCCATAATATACACATTATTACAAAGAAAAAACTAATTTCAACACATAATTTCATGTAATAAGTTAAAAAGCAATAAACTATCAATATAAATGGCTATCTACAGTTATAACTTACCAGGTATTAACTAAAATATAAAGCTCAAAATTAGAAGTAGATGGGCCATTAATTGCTATTTGAGTAAAGCTCTGCAAAATTATCATTAAAGTTTTAACAACTAACTCACTTTCAAAAAATTAAATAAATAAAAATTCTACTTTAAATTCTTAACTCCATTAATAAAGACACTGACAAGAAATATAATGTAACTTGTGTAGTGACAACATCAGGATGCCAACCCATCAACTGAAAATTTCCTCACAAAAGAGTAGACACATCTGTTTGTGAAAACATGCTAACCCAACTCACTTCCAGCTGTAAGAAACACATACAGCAAAGTTCTGTTCAGTTTAATGTTAGTTAAACAAACAATGAAACCTAACAATTCCAGCAACAGAAACAAATGAACTAGCACAATATTGCAAGCTAAGATGGTATCACTGAATTCTACTGATGTTAGTTTAAAAAGAAGCAAGAATTATAATTCACTACTTATACACTTAAAAATAAGGCAATTTTTAAAAATACATAACAGAAAAAAACTGCAAGCATTTACCCAAGTGGTCCAATTTGTTTTGGATCAATAACTTGCACACTACAGTATGATGTTTGGTACAAGCAAGAAAAAAATCCCAATCATCTTGGATGAGGACTAAACTTAAGTGTGCAAGGACTTTAGATGACAACGTACCTCACTCTAGTGTCTCATGACATTAACATACTAAAAATGGCTCGATGAATCTGTGTAAATAAACAGCATCATCTCCAATGTAGCTCTTCCAAATCCAGCGGAGGATATTGCATGAAACTGATTTACCGCACCCTGAACACCCACAATGACCAAATTACGGTCATTCATTTTGGGTTGGCAACAACCAATTAAATTAGTATCCTAACACAGGTCAGACAATTTCAGTGGGTTATATTATGTACATTAACTATATAAAAACCTAAATTTAATGACCAGTACATAAGGCCATTCTTGTACAAAGCTATTTTTGAAACCTGAAATGTACCATGTACATTAAATCTACGTTCAAAACGGCAGATCTAGGTTAAACTCCCTATAATGACTGTAGAAACAATAAACATAATCAAATCACTTCACAAGGTCAGAAAGAAAGTCAGTGGAATGCAGACTGTTTTAGAATAGAAAAATGCTATACTGAAGTCTGTTACATTAATAAAGCAAGATTTCTTTTGTATCCAGAATTACTGGCAAATATGAAAAAGGTTTCAGTTAGAGTCAAGAAGAGGAAATTTGCCAAACTGTTGAAAGACAATCCACTTGTATAAAATTTGAAGCTTTCAACATTACTCACTCCACACTAACATGGCTGATAACTAAAGTATTATCGAGTGCATGTTATCTTCTATAAAATGAAGTTACAAGAAACATCTTTCCGATGGTAAGAGACAGCATTTTGACAGTAATAGGTCCCAAAACATTTTATTTTGTTAACATATTAAGTATATTTTCAGCAGAACTACAGGAAAGAAAAAAAAACTGTACAGTTCAAATGCCTAACCCCCAAAAGTAACCTCTCATCCATCATAGTAATGAAGAATCACATGTAAGGTCACTGACTCTGGAAATGTCTTCATATCTATCACTATTATAACAATTAATATTGCTATATATCATATTAGAAAGTTCCTAGATTTATATAAAAAGATTTAGGAAACACACAACACATTCAGTATTCTACATAACGAAATATACAAGGTAATCTTGATCCCTCCATAAATGCACCATTTCAGTATGGCAATATCAACTTCAGCCTTTCACTGTCTGATCATTTCAAAGTAAAAATTATGGTGTAAGTCCCCTCATCACCACATTAACATTTTGATGTCACAAAAATGCCTGTGAGGGCATCCTAATAGCCATACTCACCCTCCATCAAAACTCTTAAGAAATGTTGCTAATAATCTGACATTATGTTAGGTCATATTAATTTAGCCTTTTAGTAGTTACTTTAGTTTTAAGTTGCACACATATCAACATTCTTCACAAACATGAAATGGCTTTGTGGAAGAATGGAAAATGAACTTTACTTCAACTCTAGAAACTCAAAACTTTCTCTTCAATGTTTCATCATGCCAAATTCAATATTTATGGAAAGTCAAAAGTTACCTGTATTATAATTTTTTCTTAAAACTGTTGTAAAAGATGTACAAAGTATGTCAGCATATTAATAGGTCTACAGATACTTCACATTACATATTGTTACTTCAGTTCAACATTCTAATATCCATGCATATAAAATAATTATTCACAGATTTACTTTAAGCCACAAAGTTTTCATTCAAAATAAAACTGCTGTTGTTAAAACTGGGCAACATAATACGAAGGCATCATGGAAATCGAAAATTATACCAAACTAATAAAATCAGATTTTAAATTGCAGTCACCAAATTATAGTATTTTCTGTTGGTACCTGTTTCTTGCCGCAAACATTACAAAGTTGACAAAATTCCGTTATGTTAACCACAAATATTAATTAGTAACTGTTTCTAGCTACGTCATAATCATGGGAACCTTACTTCTTCCAAAACGTTTAGTTAGCAATTTATTTTAGACTAGCAATAAGTACAGTTGGTATCAGAGACAAATTGAACAGCCTTCAAACTGAATAAACTAACTGTAACATGTATGAGCACATTATCTTATTATCATTAAACATAATGAGCCACTTCTGATGTCCAGATAGACTGTAATCTACTAAATGCAGGGCCTTTAGAATCACTGCCCTTACAAAGGAGTTACAGATGATCTCATGCAATAAAAAGCACCTTTTTTAGGTTCCCTCACCCTCACATCCGACTTGCATTAAAACAGCCTACATCGGCTATTCTTCTTCTTTTTCACTTGAAGAGCAGCTCTTGTTGCTGTTTCGAATACTTCGCGGACTCCTTCCTTACTCTTTGCTGAACACTCCAAGTATGCAAAAGCATTAATTTTTTCTGCCATTGCTCTACCTTCTGCTGGTTTCACAGGTTCCTGCTTCATTTTCCCCAATTCCTTGATGGTGTTGGGATCATTTCGCAAATCCTTCTTGTTTCCAACCAAAATTATTGGAACGTTGGGGCAAAAATGCTTAACTTCAGGCGTCCATTTTTCGGGAATGTTTTCCAAGGAATCTGGAGAGTCGATTGAGAAACACATTAGGATAACATCGGTGTCTGGGTAGGAGAGTGGCCGTAATCTATCGTAATCTTCTTGGCCTGCGGTGTCCCACAAAGCCAATTCAACCTGTTTTCCATCTACTTCTATGTCTGCCACATAGTTTTCGAAAACAGTAGGTACGTAAACTTCTGGAAACTGATCCTTGCTGAATACTATCAAAAGACACGTTTTACCACAAGCACCATCACCCACGATAACAAGCTTCTTCCTTATTGCAGCCATCGTTTTCCTACGCAAGTTTGTACTAAAACAAAAACAGAGCCTCTAAAAACTGCTTACGCACTATACACACTCAGCTTTCTTAAGCTACTTTTGGCCTTGACAATACACCCAACACTGAAATCATAAAATATCAAAGATATAATTTTAACTAATTCATTTCATTCAAAAGCAAGAACTCACGACACAAAGGTTTCTGTTAATTGTTGGCTGTTTCCAGTGTGTACTGAATGCTCAACACTGAATGTCCTACAAAATAACAGAAAATTCATATAATTCACGTTGGGAACAATGAAGATGATTAATTCATTATGTGGTAGTCCTTTCAAAGGTGAGCCACACCTACCGAATTACATCATTACCAAAGATATTTCTGTTCGGCCAGAGGACATATGATTCACATACAGAACAATGCGGCATAGTGTTTTTTGATTACGGTGGTTGGTTGTACTGTGAGAATACGAAAAACGGTTTAATGTCAAGGGGGAAGGGCATTTCTGTTTAACGCACAATTAAAATAATATTTGTGCAAGTTCTTCGTGTCGGTTTTTAGGTGACAAAACTGTGGAATGGCCCTTTTGCAAGCAAGTAAAGCTTTCATGCTTCTGGGCAGGTGTGTACCGTCAGTAAAACAAAATGCATCAAAAATTCAAGTTAAACGACTGGTATTAGATGAAAACTTACATATGGTAAGTTTAAATCAACATATATGTAATATATCCGAATCCATCTTAATAAGCTGTGGGCACCTTTAAGAATACAAAAATTCAGCCTCTTGCGCCGCTTTTCTGCCGAGCGTCAGGCAGTTATTGAACTTTATTCTGAGACTCCTATTGGTGATGTGTGGTATATTGGTAGGAAAGTGTAGGGGGCAGAATAAGATATGGCTGCGCGAAATTCGAATCGACCTGTTCGTAGTTTTTATTTGAAGATATTTGCCTTGATTAGACCATGACAAATCATGGTCTAATCAAGGCAAATATCTTCAAATGCTTACAACCCCCCACCAAAAAAACCGATTGGCTTATCGACACTGTACAGCTGACTAGTTTAAAAAAATAACAGTGACTTACATTTTGCCTCTTTTACTACTATCCATTGAAATTAACCTGTCTTAAAAAATTTTCTCTTTATTTCAGTACTTTGGAGAATTTGAGTACTATTATGCTCATGATCCTGGGAAAATCTGCAAAACTGGAGATGTGGTTTTGATACAACAGCTCCCAGAGAAAGTGACAAGGCTCATAACACATCAAGTTCTGGAAGTGGTATACCCATTAGGAGATGTGACAGATCCCATCACTGGCAAGAAAGTTGTAGTTGGTAAATACAGGTATGCGACACCTATCCAATACATCTGTTAATAAAACAATTTCATTTTTGACATCTTTTTATATCATTTTTATTTTTAAATAAATGTGTTATGTTCAGAATTTTTTGTCTTAAACAACTTTATCTTTAATTCTGATAAAATAATATCATAATGATATGCAACTTCATAAACTGATGTCATTAATTGCATGTTTCAGGGATGAAATTGAAGAGGCCAACAAATTGTTTGGAGAGTCGGCAGGTAGATTCATGTATGATAAGGCCCCAAAGAGAGGCTGGCAAGAAGACAAGAAGGATTTTACAAACAGAGAAACTTATATCAAATACCATGTATTTGAAAATGATGACCAACCATATGCTGTGTGATTGTACTTATTACATGTAGAATAAATTTATGTTAATTTCACTAAGAAATACTTTCATTACATCTTGTGGGATACCAGCACATGGCCCCTGGTACAACTCAAAAGACCATATGTATTCAGTTAAAATCAGTGACAGATTTGTTTTGTTTCTGGGATTTAGATTTGATGTCATATTCAATATATTCTAAACACTGAGTTGCATCTTAAAGACTGCATACACGAATGTTGACCTTGGTCTTCTGGGTTGTAATGCCACGTGAAACTGTAGGTAGATTCCAATGTTTCAGAGTAACAGGATATCACTGTTGCCCTCATGCAAACGACCAATCCCAAGAACTATTATTCAGTTTATTTAATAATACATAAGAGTTAAAATTGTATAGCACTTAATGACAGAATGATTAAAGAAGTGCAGAGTATATGGAAGGAAGTGGTCTTGGCCTAATTTAAGGTACTATCCTGGCATTTGCCTGGGGAGAGTGAGGGAAACCATGAAAAATCTCAGTCAGGATTGCTGGTCTACAGGCCAAGATTTAAATCCAGGACCTACAAAAACAAAGGTACACACTAGGCCAAGAGAGTCTGAGCCACACTACAGCGAAAAGGATACAGTACACTGACATTTAAATATATAAATTTTATTTATGTATACTGCTTAAAATGTACAATAATAATTCTATGGCAGGCAACAATACTTTTGTTTCAAATTAATATAACAGTCTTGAACCCTTTGGCTATGAAGCAATGTCTCAACATTCAATCATTTCTCTGGTATCAAAATGGAACCTAAAACACAAAACACATTTTTACAGATACATCAGCTATTATTCCTCAAAAATATCCATCATTAAACAAAGGTTGAGACGTGTTGGACATGTAACATGCATATGAGAAACAAGAAATCACTATAGAATTTTAATCAACAACTTCAACAGGCACAGGGATTTGAGGTTCTCATAGTGGCGATGAGAAACAAGAAATCACTATAGAATTTCAATCAACAACTTCAACAGACACAGGGATTTGAGGTGTCGTGTTAGTCTTCTGGGTTTAACAATGTGAACATGTAGCTACATACCAACATTTTAGTGCTACATGCTGCTTCCATCTTCAGAGTTATTGTTCTTAAGATTTTCATGAATAGAGTCTAATGTATATTTTGCATGGTCAAGGCCTAATTTAAGGTACTATTGAAACATCTACCTTCAAATGAGAAAAAGATTAAAGAACCTGTCAAAACAGTTGATCACTGAAACATGTGCTAACCACGTGGCTGCTAATTTTCTGAAATTACATGCATTTCAGATGTAATGATTATAATTCATAAATTGGTGTCTACCTACTTCATCTTAATCTCACCCAACTTATTACAGTGAATTCAAAACCCAGGTAAACAATAGCTGTGGATATAATAATGAAAAGTACTAGACTAGAAGGATTAATTATATGAAATACTGCAAATAATACCTATACTTACTTCTGAATAAAATTCCATATTGTTTCCAAAAGATGATGCAGGCAAATACCAAACAATTGGAAACATAGATCCATCTTGAAGATCTAAAAATCCTTTGGCACTTTGCAGAAACACATGCTGCATGTTGCAACTCTTACGTTTCCTTTGGCAATAATGGACGCCCTTGGTGTATCTAACGAGAACTGGAAGCACTCAAATGCTGCCATCTTAACTTTTGTAAAAAAGATACTGAATCTTCATTCTTGCTACTATTTTCAGTATTACCTCATTAATTCACGTACTAAAATTTGGACAGGCCGACTGGAATTGTTGAGATGAATTCATTCACATTTATTAACCTGTCTTGAAAAGACAAACTGACGTTAACCTCCTCATCATTAACATAGCTTGAAATGTTAATGGGACCTAGGTTGAAGGAAAATATGTTGCAACGTGAAGTGCACAATATACGAACCAACACTCAATACAGAACACATAAAGTTGGAGTCATGCTGTAAACCCCAACTAAAAATGATGGACCACTTGGTGCTTTTTTGAGCCACAAATTTTTACTCCATTACAAAAAACCACAGCAACCCTTCTTTTTCTTGTTATTCATCTGTAGGGCAGCCCTCGTTGCAGTTTCAAAAACCTCACGAATACCTTCCATGTTCTTTGCTGAACATTCTAAGAAACTATATGCCTCTATCTTATCTGCCATTGCTTTACCATCTACCGTATTCACTGGACTTTGCTTCATTTTACCCAATTCTGATATAATAATTGGATCATTTCTCAGATCCTTTTTATTACCGACTAAAATTATGGGTACATTAGGACAGAAATGTTTAACCTCTGGGGTCCACTTTCTATGAATATTATGAAGAGAATCTGGGGAGTCTATGGAAAAGCACATTATAATAACGTCAGTATCCGGATAAGACAAAGGCCGTAACCTGTCATAATCTTCTTGACCTGCAGTATCCCACAAAGCTAGCTCAACACGATTTCCATCCACTTCTATATCGGCAACAGTACTCTCAAATATTGTAGGAATATAAAAATCTGGAAATTTGTCCCTGCTAAAAACTGTCAGCAGACACGTTTTGCCACACGCACCATCGCCAACAATAACCAGTTTTTTCCGAATAGCAGACATTGTACGTTCACAGCCAGCGCCTTCCTTCTTCCTTGAAGTATACATTACTTCCCGTGTATTGATCGGTGCCAAGAAACCCACAGCCCCTATTTACAGGTCATC